GGAAACATATGATTAGCTTAGGGAATTTCGGTAAAAATCATACGAATTTTGTTCTTCTGTTGATAAATTAGCGAATCTGTGGTTACGAAATTAAAGACCATATATTACTACTCGAGATGAGTAAAATAAATACCGGTTTACTTGCATTTCCGTATTATATATGCTTTAATTATATATTCCAAATTGAAATACACAAGATAAAAGAAAAAAAAAATATGACTGATGCATGTTAGAAGAACCATGCTTCTCATGGCTTGGTTTCTTGGGGGTTTCTTCTTTGTTTCCAATTCAAGACACCTTTATTCAAACCAAGCCTTTGCTTTGTTCTTTAACATCATGGTATCTTCGAACTTAAATCTGTGAAAAATGTAAACGAGTTACATAATATAAAAATGCCTTAAAGGGTTTTGGTGATTCATCAAGATCAAACTTAAACCTTTTACCTTGCTGTTATTGGTTTGTTCTTGGTGGGGTCTCATAATCGGAATGCTCGGGTTGGCTTAGTTGCAGCCGAATCTGAGTGAGTGATTCATTGTCCGGGACAGCTAGTTCACGGTGTGTAAACCCATTTGTGCTTGTTGTATAAGCCTGCAAAGACAGATTGAAAGTCGAAGCCATCACTTCAAAAGCTCTTATCCCAAGCAAATTTAGTTTGTGTATGTTTGTTACCTTCTTGTAGAGCTCCACATTTTCTTGATGAATCCGTTGTACTTTTCTAGATAACTCGAGGTTTTCCTGATGAATGAGGTTCCTCTACACCACAAGCAACGAAAATTGCAAGATAAGAATTGTAACTTATGTTATTTTGGGAATTCATATATACACGTACGAAATATATTTTGTATATATACATATCTTGTAGTGACCTTTTGGCTTAGTTCTTGGATTTCATGAGTCAACATTTGTTCCTGTGGAATCCGGAAAAGCAATCGATTCTATTGAATTCCATTGTGCTATATAGTCAATCTTTGAGCAACACACTACAAAGTATATAATACAAGGGTAGAGAGTATATATATGTATTTATATACCTTTTTCATACGAATTCCACGCAAACTTATCTCAAGTTGATTCTCAAGACTGTTTAGCTCGTTGACATTCAAACCATTTAGTTGTTCCCCCATAATTTGTCTGCTCCATAGCAAACATGTAGTAACAATGTATAAGTAGAAGTTTCTTCTTTTCTTTGTAAATGTATGTCCATTGATATTTTAATCAAAGACTAATTCGATATGTGCTATAAGGTGGTCGTTCAAAGTAATACCGATGATTTTCTTGCAACGCATGCAATTCTTGCCTTAGCACCGCGGCTTCTCTTTGCCAAAACTATAACACAACACAAATAAATAATCATGTTTTGAACGTAATAAACCAAAAACTCATTTCCATTCACGATTTTAATAAAACATAAATCAATAATCACATATTCTTATGTTTGTCTAGTATGTTTGTCTAGATATGTACCTTGACTTCTGATGTCGGGTTCAATAGTTGTTGTTGCTCGATCTTGCTCTTGTTGTATCTATCAATAACCGAATTCAAGCTGTTCAAAAGATTTGATATCAGTAACCTGCTCATGGTATATAATTCACTCATGTCATACTAAAAATCACAGTAAAGAATGTCCATGAAATTGACTAAGAAACCTTCAACTCCTTCTTTGAAAAAGCTCTCTTACATAAAGGAAAAAAACATGGCTTTACGTATTGTGCAATATCCAATTATTATGTGACTTTGTCATAGGCTAGTAGTAACAAATTTACAAGCGCTCGTATATGTACACATGCATGCATCCCACGGAATGTAAACATGCACTCAACAATATGATTTTGTTACACACACCCATACTTGT